GAAGAAACCGAAGAATCTAAATAAACCGAAGAATCGAAAGCATTCGCAGGATCTTAAGAAATTTGAACAACCAGAAGAATTAGAAGAAACGGAAAATCCTACAAGTCTAAGAAATCAGACGGATTTGCAGAATCTGAACGAACTGAAAAAAAAAATTAATAATCCGAAAAATTGGAAAGAATGGAAGAATGCAAAAAAACGTACAGAATCTGAAGAAATTGAAACAATGGGTCAGTTTAGTAAATAATTGTTTGTTAGATATTGTTATTATTGCGTAATTATGATGCAATTTTTTATATTTTTTAATTGTTTTTTAAAAAATTTTTTGAGATACTTTCATGCACCAAAATCCATGGAGACCAGAATTTGATAGGCGCCTCCGTTTAGAGAAGGAAAAATCTCTTACACAATCGAAAAGAAGATGCTCTTTCAACAATCGCACATTTTGGGACTTAGGCGTAGCTTGCAAACTAAACTTTTGGGACCGTTTGTTTTGGTCCATTCCACCATTTAATTTTTTTCCATTATTAATTATATGTTGCACCTCAATTTATACCTTTATTTTGTAATTGGCATACAAAGAACAAGTAATTCCTAAATGTGACGTATTTTACGCTAAATTTTATTGCAAAATTTATCTCTCCTAAGAGGCACGTGTTTGACACGACTGTTTGGAATTCTTACACAATTGTGTACTACTTAAACTTTATCTGATTATCACGTTTACTTTTATTATTAATATATTATAATAATAAAAACGTAGAAAAGAAGGTTGACTTTTCCGTGCTTGGAAAGTGCCTCCGAATAATGCAATATTATACAACTACACGTAATATTAATAATATTCACTTTAAATATTATTCAGAAAATGGCGACGGTTAACATACTGTGAATTGAATGATTGGTGGTATTGACCACATCACATCATCCCATTGTGATTGGGGAAAAGCAGCTGAACAGTCTAAAAGGTCAGCATTTGTTAATAAATTCCAAAATAATAAAGCTTCATCAAGAGCCAGATTATTTGATGAGATAGAGAGGAAGAATAGCTGAAGATAAACTCGTGCGTAAAAAAAGATCCGAGGCCTCCATATACAGGATACAGGATGCCCCGGTACCGGAAAAAAAGGCTCCTGGAAAAAAAACCCGGAATAAAAACCCCCGGAATAAAAACCCATGGAAAGAAAACCCCCCGGAAAAAAACCCACGGAAAGAAAGACCCCCTGGTAAAAAACCGGAAGAAAAACCACAGGGAAAAAAAGGAAATATTGCGCGAGAGCTAAAGTTGCATATTGTTTACTGAAACAGGAATATCAAACAGAACTCGGTTGAGATATTCTATTAACAAATTTTCACAATTTTTACAAAATACGTAATTGCATATTACCCTAAACTACCATTAACCCTAATTAAACCTAATATTATGACTTATAGCTTCTAAGAAGTTTACCACATCTCTTTGTCCGGCGCTGTATTCTTCGCAGATATTTTTTAGTCTACTTTGCAGCAGTACATATTTTGCTTTCTTCCTTTTTGGGATTAATTGACCTAAATGTTGTTGGTGTAATTTTAAATGAATTTAAAATATGTTTTCGCAAACGTGATTAAGATCACAATCATTTATTCATATTTAACATATGAATAACTTTGGTTTGAGCCCATGTCATTTGGTAAACATTAAAAATCGACCAATCATATACCATATAATCATTGATTAACTAACACTCTTTGTGAAACTGGGTATAAGTCAATAAACAACGCTTTTTGCAAGCTAATTCAGCACAGGAGTACACAGCTCGCACTTTTAGAAATTTTACGAAGGGCCGGTTCCACAATGCAAGTATATACCAGGTATAAGCTATTTCAAGTATAAAATCTAAAAATTCAATCCAATTTTCAGATCTTGTACTTGGAATAACTTATACTATAGGCTTGCCTTGTGCAAACGCCCTAAGATGTTTACCTACCTATTGTGGAGATGCAAAAAGGGGGTTTTCATTCCAGGGGTTTTTTTTTTCCGGGGGGTTTTCTTTCCGTGGGTTTTTATTCCGGGTTTTTTTTCACGGGTTTTTTTTCCTAGACTCGGGTGCCCATTATGTATGGAATATAGTATATGTCTCGGTAAGTAAATAAGGACTGTAAAAAACAATTTTTTATATAAAATTAATTAAACATTTTATTTTCCTTAATAAGGCAGCATTCAGTTGTTTTTATTTCAGAAAACAAATGAGTAACGAAGAGCGATTGAATTTTTTTAATGTCAGTTCACTTTTTCATTAGGTTCATTTGAAAGGGTTTTTTTTTCTGTTCGGTGATGTAACTTGTACCCTAATGCGAGAAAATGTTTCAAAAGAACTCATTATAATTACATCCATAACATTAAGCCTGCATCAAAATAAAACAAATGATCGTGTTTACGTGTATACGTTTCTTATTAAACCTTGCAGACAAAATGAAATTAGCAATAAAATGGTTTTATTTTAGTGTTCAAAATATTTTTATTATTAACTGCAAGACAGTGAACTAACCTACCATGGAAAGCTTGAAATGAAAGTCTGAGTATTCTGGGAGAAATTGCTACAGCAATTATTGCTAATTTCTTGCTGTCTTCAAGGTTTCATAAGAAACGTAGGTACACGTTGATCATTTGTTTTATTTTGGTTGCAGGATATCTAGATTAATGTTGTAGATGTAATTATAATAATTTTTTTTTAATTTTCTTGTATATGGGTACTAACATGTTACATCATCGAAAAGAGAAAAAAAGTGTCTCTATCAAAAATGAGGCTAATGAAAGGGTGCATTCCTATTAAAAAAAATCAATTGTTTTTTGTTACTCATTTGTTTTCTGATATCAAACAACTGAATGCTGCCTTATTATGGGAAATAAAAAGTTAAACAACTTTCAAATTGCCGTATAACTGGTGAGATGGAGGTACAATCATCTTCAGCACAAAGGAAAGACAATCCACATTTGCTACAATTGAGTTGCAAACCAAGTTCTGTAGATTTTTTAATAATGGATGCGAGATCTTCGAAGATGATATAGTAATCACCAGCCAAAGCACCATCACTCAAATATAGTTGTTATCATGTCCTGAATTAATACATGCAAAATTGCGGAAGAGCCAGAGGATCTCTTTGAAAAGAAATATCTAACCTCGGACCAAAGAGTATATCTCGAACTTATAATAAAGATTGGAATGATCACGGTAACATTGATTCAAATAGTTGTAATATTGTGGTAAAATTTCTAAAACTTTTCGCAACATTTCCTCTTGATCAACCGTATTAAAAGCATTCATGAAGTCGATTTTCAGTAGTACCTCCTTCAGTGGAACTATGAGGGTACTGAAAATAACGTCTGGTAGAATGGATTTTTGCTTTAACACTAATATACTGAATATTGCATTGCGTAGAGTTTTGTTATAGAGATATTATGAAAATTTTACATCTTCTCAGTTATGGCACCAATTGTCTGTTGCGAATAGATCATTAAACTCCATTTCAAACAAGGTAAGTACCTACTACTTATACGTAGGTACCCCCTTTAATTTAAAATTTTTGAAAGAGCGCTATGTTCAGAGAAAGTTGCTAAAGGGAGGTAGTCAAGTTCAAAATTAAAATGATTTGTAGGATCTCAGTTGGGATATTAAAACCTTCACAATTCCTAGTGTCACGAATCATCGTTAAACGTCTTTAAAAGCCCGTGAAAAGTTTCAAGAGGTTTCTATCATCTTCTAAAGTGATTTGTTTGTTTAATTTCCCTTTACTGATAATTATCAGTAAGGACAAATTAAACAAAAAGTTTTTTTTCAAATGAACGATATTGCTCGTACCTTTTCTTCATAAGTATTTTTATACAGAGAGACGCTTTCTCAGCATCTGCGTACTACGATTTCGCGTCCCACGTGAAGACGCTAATGCAATTAACTTTGATTATACCTACTTAGAATATTTTCAATTAACTACTGATCAGCTATACATTAAAATATCTGTTGTAGTATATTGGGGTGTAACCAATGACAAAATTAAGAAAGTAGGAGTGGCACCCACTGTTGTTAATACCCTACGAACCTCCGCTAAAATTAATTACTCCTGGAACATTCTTTAGGAAATAATCATGGAATATCCAATATAATTATTCCTTGAATATTCACTTTATTCTAAGTACCTACATTTAGAATATTCCTGGGAGATTTTGGAGATATATTCGTTTAGGGACGGTTGTAAGAATTTTCATAGAATATCGGCGCTAGCTGGGACCCTATTAAAGTATCAGAAATGGGACACTAAAATTCAGGGTTTGATTGAAGTTTTGCCTCAGTAGCTCCCAAAACATATAGTTTATTTTACATAGTAATAGGAAGTTTTTTGGAAACCTAGAGGGATGATCTTCGAAGTAGATATCGCGTGCTTCTCTTTGCACGTCCATGAAACGTAACAGTTAACCAGCTTTTAATAGCTACAAATGTCTGTACGTCATACTACCATGGAAAGCATTGGGAAGAATACTAGAGCGATACTAGTGGACAGTTTACACAAAATTAAATGCATCAACCCAATTTGATTTGGCAACGTAAGCCTGTAGAGTCTTGTAGGCATATTGTTTCAAACTTCATTTACTTTTGGAATTGTTGATCACTATTGCCATTCTAATCTTCGTAGGATCAGATACACATAACAATCATTCAAGATTATTTTTGGTTTACTCCCTTTCAAAAAAAAATTGTTTAGGTGTATTCAAACGTTATTTTAGATATGATACGGTTCGTATACGCGTTACTTTTGTTATTATCTACGAAATTCCACTTGACTATTTTTTAACACTGTAGGTACACTATGATGACTAAAGTTACCTACCGATGAATCGCCTATGAATTTCAGGAGGGGAATTTTAGATGAAATCTTATCCGTAAGTGGAAATTCAAAATAACAATAGCAAAAACTAGCATAGAACTTTTATCTTCACTTTGTGAGTACCCTGTTCAGACACTTACTTCGTTCTTCAAAATACATTATATCTCCGTTGAATGAATCTCAGTGAGACCTCGCGGTCTGTTTTCCTTCTCAAGTTAGGTGAGGAACAGACGGACGGAAACCATCACATAAGAGTCATTTTTGGTCCCCTTCAAAAGTTTCATAACCGGAAAAAATATTATTAAAAACAGCGTTATCTTTTAATCAGTTTGTTGTTATCTTTATTATCCACACTTATACAAATTAGATTCTTTTATTACTGTTATATATTATTCTAATCGCCCAACTGTGGATTAACGCGCGTAATATGTTGAAAACATGTTAGCAGATAACGTGATGCACATTCATATTAAAATATGACAAAACATCATAGCTTATTGCGTACATAAAGCTATTGGTAGTTTGAAATAGTGCTGACAGAAATAATTTCCACTAAACAAATTGTCCATATATTATGATACATAATAAATCTGTCAGTACAATATAGTTCAGCATTTTTGAAAATTGTAGTAATTGTACGACGTAAACGTAAGTTGTGTTGTACTTGAAGGACGTATGTTAATAGTACAATTATAGCTTCATTGTTAATAGGCGAAAATAAAACGAAACATCTAATTTGAAAATTAATGTACCTACCTACCTAGGCACCTATTGTTGTAATTAGTTAAATTAATTTGAATCCCAAACAGTTTACGTCCATCATTAACGTACAGAAAAATGTTAGTTTTAAAGAGCTGCATTAAATTAAAATGCAATGCAAAACGTATTTGGTTAACGTGATTGGAGGGTACCATTATTGGGCAAGGCAATGCCCTCTGTGAGATTCCTACCTGCTCAACCTGATTTAGTTTGTTGGCTATTTTTTGAATTCCTCAAGATATGTTGAAAAAAGAAGAGATTCATTGGCAGGAAACCGGGCGTATTTATCTGTGAGTGTAATTATCATAACAGTTAAGTGCAAGGTCGCGTGGCCCATACGAAACATATAGCTACTATTTTTGTTTACAATTCCTAAACAATCGCCACCGGGAGTTAGCAGGCCGAAAAATTGGAAAGACATACCTGAATGTTGCCCATCGTTTGAAAGGCGGTAAAAACGAACATGAATCCCAGTCCCAGTAAAATCACGTTAATTAGTTTTCTATCCATATTGGAATTGGTGTACGTTAATTGAGAATGTCGTAAATAAAAACAATTGACTATTGCCGCACACAACCGCATTCGAGCAATTTGTTGTAAACTAAGTAATGATATGTCCCTTACTACAATTTATACGTTCAAACTTTCCAATGAAACCGCTCCGACATCTGCGACGAAAGCGCGCAAACTAATCTGATTTGAAAATTAAATGCGCGGGCAGCGCATCTTTTGAATATTCAGCGTTAATTATACATTTAAAAAACTTGCCTCTATATTGCTGATGGTTTGAAAAGCGCTAAACACGAGCATCATTCCAATCCCCAAAAATACGACGTTTCGCAATTTTCGCTCCATAATTTTTCGATTCAAAGTCACAGAACTGGTTAGAAAAACTGATTTTGGGAGAAACTGTAGGCTGTATTTATGCATTTACACCTTCCACCGTAATAATGAGAAAATTGTCACAATTATTATTATCAGTTAAGTTTGTAGTATAAAAACTGGGTTAAGCGATTATTACAAATTAGAAATGTAAAGATGCCAAGTAGAACTAAGTTTGTACACTATTTTCGTGCACTAAATTTTGAAAATCCCATCCCGTGATATATGATTCCTAAGGCCATAGCAATCACACTTAAAGCAGTACATAAATCAAAAATAGATTGTTTAAACCATTTAATTATTAAATTCGTGAAGTTTTTGTAGTGTACGTGAAATATATTAATTTATTTGATAGATCTTAAACAGTTTGTACAACATTTTTAAGAGTTCAATGTTTTAAAATCAATAGGTTTTTAATAAAATTGGCGTTCTGTATTCTTATGACTTATGAGTCGCTAGTTTCCATCGCGTCATCACAGTTAATGGCTTGAGCAAGCTACTCGTGCCAGTCGGATGGGTATCGACTGGCGATAATACTACCTTGCTGGGTTTTACGTGCTCAACACAGCTAGGTCAGGATTACGCAGAATATCGTGCGGGTCCATGGGAAGCACTGAATTAGCAAAATAAACGGCCGTGGGTTTGATAGATGGATAAGGGTCGTGAGGCTGCACACATTCGACTCGTTCATGATTAAAGATGGCCTCGTTAACTAATTAGCAGGGCGTGCTAATACCTCATAAAAAGAAGTAGGGATTAGTCCATCAGGAGAAAGAGCAGTAGCCATTAGGGCATTCGGTTTTAGACCACGAGCAAGCTACTCGTGCCGTGGTCCAGGAAAATTATTTTTCGGGTATTATGAATATTTGCTGAAAACTGAAAGTTTTTCGCGTGGTACGCGATTTTATATATATTTATATATATGTATATAAAAACAGTAAAAAATCGGAAAACAATTAATTACGGTGCGATCTAATTTAAGTCGAGGAATTTTGCAAATCGAGTTACTCGAGTGTCATAAAATTATTAAAGAATTAAACCTATGCAGAAAAAATTCTGAAAGTCAGAGAAATTTGCTTCGAATAGTTTACTAACTTTACAAAATTCAATTCTGAAATTTGAATGGAGGCATCAAACCACTTTTATCTGCATTGTTTGAAACCTTAATTTACGAGCTTTTATCGTTTGTAGTCGAGTATTAATCTTAAGCTTAACTTAGTGACGCGGATAATTTTCTAACTGTTGAAATCGCGCTCGAGCGTTTTCCACGAAACGCCAAAAAAAATTACTAACTTTTTAACCGCGCAATTGACGCTTGTATGGCCCCAAAACAAATTCCGCAAACGAGCTCTACCGCGGCGCGGTTCAAGACGTAATCTTAATAATTTTGATGTGGGTACTATGACAGCTCAACTCTCATTAGTTAGGTAATTTAAAAATCTTTCTTCTTAAAGCTAACTAATCCCTTTAGCACCTCAAAAATGCAACGCTTTTCCTGTGAACTTGAGCTAATCTCGCACCAACGGGCAACTAATAGTTTTATCGCGCCATTACTTACAATACAAAGAAAAAAATTCCATGACACATCCTGCTTGTCTACGACTCCTGACCAAGTAATGTTCTGTCTTATAAGCTCGGGAAACATCAAGTCAAGGTCAAAGTTAAGGAAAATCATTCACCTTCCACATTCATTCCCGTCACACGAACAATTTGCCTCAAAGCAAAGAGCACCTTTGCTCAAAGTATTCCACATTTTAGCCACTTTGGCGTTGCTCCTGACGGTGCAGTTGTTTAGTCGCCTCTTACGACTCGCAGTGCCCTCTGCGGTAGGGTTATTCTTTCCCGACCCTACACGGGTAGAAATTTCCGACTTCAAGATCAGAAATAACTAATAAGAATGAAAAATAAAAGAAGCGCAGTTTCGTAGTAGGTTTAAGTTTGTCTCATGTGACACGTCTGGACTAATTCACACCAAATTTGGCACGACTTAAGTGGTCCAGGGCGGAAACTAGATAAAAAAATTGAACATCCAGCTCCTTCTCTACTCTAGTAAGAGGAGATCACTTCTATCCTGTGTCTCAGACACGGAGCAAGATAAAGAAAAATTTGGTCACCTGTAATTTTAAATAATAGAAATAAATTCAATTCAATTCAGGTTTTTATGTTCTGGAAAAATTCTCGAACACATCCATTACCTACTTTTTTTGCATTAAAAATTTCATACACACGGGCGTCTCAAACATTATTTTTATCAAATGGAATGCTCTGTATATTGTAATTTGCAATTTACGATACCTACATGTTGAGCACTTTTTAGTGTCATAACATAAGCTTAAAGTCAACAGTTTTCCAAATATGTCACAATTTGTACAGACTTGTACCGCAAGTAAAATACCTATTTTGTAACTACCACTTCACGTGTTGAAACCTATAATGAAAAAAAAACCAATTTCCTACTGTTCCTCTTCCTAGGAGTCTCAATCTGTGCTGAGACCTCACACCCTGGGTGGGACAGTGGGGCGGGCGAAATTCACGCACGTAGTTTTCATAATAAATACGTTTAACAAATTTTGAGACAACTTTTAAGTAGGTACCTACCTATAGTCTTCTAGGTTTCAGAATGTTCATCAGAACCGACGAAAATATTCTTAAGTTCTTAAAGAATGATCTCTATAATTTTCTAGCGTTTGTAGAATCTTCTTCCTAGAGTATTCTCCAAATATTCTTAATATATTTCTAGAATGTATGTATATAACCATTGAATAACGAATATAACGCAGAAAACATTTTTTATAGTCTTCTTAACACCATCGTCTTAAAATGTTCAACTTCCTTAGAATCTTATGGGATAATATTGTGGAACCTTCTTAGAATATGCTTTATAGAATCTATCTAGTACCTATTTTTAAAATTTCTAGTATACCTACATAGAACTTTCAGAACTATTATCTTCTTTGTCTGCTTACGTACCTATGCTATATTTATGTTCAAAGATGGCCCTGGACCGGAGGGCGTCATTTTATTCACATTTTTGCATATCCAAGAAAATAGGAAAATTCGTTAGCTAGGTATTCCTGTGTTGTGACTGTTGAAAAAAGAATTGAATAAAAACGCGCCTTTAGTTAATTATTGAAAAAAAAATTGCTTTGATCCTCTACTCACTACTGTCACTTAATTTTAGGTAAGTGAACGATACAGCGAGACCTTAGGTATTACCTACTTATTTTCCTGCGCTTATTCGTTTGTGCCGTCGGCGATTTCCTTGTTTTCAGGTACTTTTCCTGTGGCAGTGATTTTTACGTCGCACTATTTATAATTATGATACGCAGCGCGTGGAATTTTTAAAACTTCACTCAAATTTTATTTCCCCTCCAGAGTCCAGAATCTTTAAAATTTCCGTAGAATCCTTATTACGGTGCATTCAACTTAAAACGAGCTACCCTGAATAAGCCAGTTGGCTCCGTAAAAATCAACCCCTTGTTAGCAAAACGTAAAAAAATTCAGATGAAAACAATAATCCAATGGCCCCTATTTTAATACGCTCTTTCAATTCTTCTGTATCCATGGCCAGATATACGTATTTTGTCCCTACGAGCTCCTGAGAATCGCCCCCCCCCCCCCCCAAAATTAATATCAGCCCAACCAAAATTTGTTTCTGGTTTACCTAAATCATTGAATAATATTCAATGCCTACATGTAAATATGCAATACGCAACCCGGCAACGTTTAAAATGGCCGCCGGAATATGACTATTCCCTCTAAAAGCTAAACTGCTTCGGCTTAAATTTGAAATCAAAAAGCGA